CAAGGAAAATTTTAAAGCTGCCATTTAAGAATGAAGGTGTATGAAATGCTATATATCCACTTAGGATTCTGGAAAAATAAATGTTAATGAAAAATCATGAGCACAGCACTAGCAGTGCTGCTCTCTGAACTACTCTTTGCTTTATTTAAACAGAACCGCCCCAAAAATTAGAAATGTCAGACCCAGGCACTATTTAAATAAAAGCAATACCTGTGGGCTAGAACATCTTAAAAAGCTACACTACTAACATTAATATTTCTCCCCAAAACTTTGGTTTCGTTTTATTTCAATCCGAGAAAGAGTAAAACCTGCACAAGTGTTACATTTGAGATTTGGCCAACAGATCTTTTGTTTTTTCTGCCAAGAGTTTGTTGCAAAGATGACGCACTCTTTACCTCAGTGAACTATTGCAAAACCAGTGCCATCAGTAAGTAGACAAGTATTATCCCAGTGTCAATTATTAAAATGGGGATGGGCTGGGATTAGAGTACTGGCATTCTTAACTCACCACTGGAAACATAGTTACTTAAGTTGATCTTCTAGGATAGAAATACATTTACGAGCAATGTAGCACTAGGTAAAATAAGTGCCCAATTAAAATTCTCCCTTTTACTGTTAAGAGTTCAAAAAGTGTTTCAGTAACTCAGCATACCTTCCAAATAGTTACTTTTCAAATACACTAGTGATTTAGGTATAATTCATTCTAATTTGCCATTTTTAAGTTATGGTCTGAACATCATAACAAGTGTTTTAGATAACCATGTCCTTTTCTGTGACAAACTGTGGTCAGCTGATGAGTGACCAAGAGAGAGACCTTTACTTCCAAGGCTATTCATATGGAGTGTTGAGCATATAGGATCCCTTTATACTAGAAGGTGCACTGATACAGGATCAGTACTGATATAAAGAAAGTTGTCTATATCAGTTCGATGGGGCTGATAGCTGGGCAATAAATGGTTGTGCTGTGCTGCGGCTGTGCACAGAGCAGAGCCAGCAGTGCAGAGAGCTGCCTCCAGCTGGTAAGTTGGAAGAGGGGGGTGGGGGCAGGAAGGGGCATGGGTGGGCAGATCAATGTCCCCCACCGTGAGGGAGGGCATGGGGCAGCCGCTGCCCAGGCGGGCCGGGGGGGAAACAGGACAGAGGCATGGCTTATGGGGTGGGGACAGCTCCCACTACTGCTTGCACCCTGGGGATGTGTCCCGAGACACATCCCCCAGAGCAGGGCTGGCTGCAGCTGTGGGGTGGAGCCAGAGCTGCACAGGGCTTTTCTTGCCAGGGGCTGGGCTTGGAACAGGCTCTGGCAGTGCTGGGAGAAGGCTGCAGCCACCACAAATTTAGATGCAACTCCACTCCTAGCCCCATGCTGCCACCTGCCACAGCTGTGGCTTTTCCCAGTGCTTGGGTGGAGGTGGGGCATTCAGCCAGAGTTGTGCCAGCTCCACCCTGCAGCTGCAGCCCACCCCATGCAGATCTGGGGGCATACAGTCCCCCTGCACTCACAGGGTGCAAGCAGTGGTGGGAACCACCCTTACTGCATGAGCTGTGCCTCCGTCCCATGCCCCCCCTGCCCCAGCTGGGCAATGCCTTCTCCTGCCCCCTCCCTCACTGCAGGGGATGTTGATCTGACCCCCTCCCCACACCCCTTCCCTTCTACCACACTTGACTTACCAGCTGGAGGCAGCTGTATTGATATCTGTATCAGCCCCCAAAATCTATTGGTGCACCCCTATTTTGTACTCCTGGCTTCCAAGAGAAGCCAGCTCACATAGCACCATAGCAGCCACACATGGACATGATGCTTCATTTAAATGCTCTTTTACTCCACTAAAAGTGCATAACCACTTGTGGCTTGCAAGGAATGCATTTCATAATAAATCAAGCAATTTGTAGTTTTATCAGCCACCAGAGGGAGCACATAAAAGACAAAATAGCAGAAAACAAAAGTTCAAAATCACTTATGACTACAAAGTTCAAGAGCAATCATTCTTTCTGAGGGAGATACCTACTATGAACTATACAAATGACCCCTGGTTTGGGAGAGAGACATACTTGTGATTCTGTACTTCTCTACCAAATTAGATTAAACCGTCTTAAACCAGTCATTTTACTTCAACCACAATCCCACTGTTTATCAAGACAGCATATTTACCTTCTCTCAGTGGTAAAGATTACATGCACAACAATTTGGATACCTTAAAAAAAAGTGGTTAGGACAACAAGTATATAAGCCTGGAACTGGTCACCTTTTGAAATGACTTTAGTCAAAGTTAGTTTCATGGCATAAACCAACTGACTTCCCATATGACATTACATGTTTCCGCAACAACACTTGGCATAACATCCTGGGATTATTATTTAAATGTGAAGTTACAGCTAGGACAGTCAAGTCTCCAAATCAGTAGCAAGTGTTTTGGACTACCAGTAGCTCACAAACTAGCTTGAAACCTGTTGAACCTAATCAAGTTGGATTAATTTTCAGTATTGATTTAAAGAGACCCTATAGTCTATTAGATCATAGAATTAACACACTACTTGAAGCCCAGTAACAGCTATAGTTGCTTAAAATGGGCATGTTTCCTTACTTTGAGGACAGCATTCAACATCCACTAAAAAACTTAAAATTAAAAAATCAGCAAGACTAGAAGTATTATGCTACTAGTTCAACTACACAGTCAAAGGATAACACCACAAATTAAAAAAAGAAAAAAGAGAAACTGAATCAGTTCCATTTTTCTTATTCTCTATGCTGGGAAAGTGCTCTTAGGAAAAGAGAAGCTGAATAGTAGGCCACTAGTGTTCCCATTACCACAGCATGAGACCAACCCATAAATCTCGCTGCCAGTGGCAGCAGTAGTGAAAGGAAAGTTACACCCGTTCAGTTTTCAGGCAAGAAGCACCTCACAAGAGCAGCAGCTCCATCACACTATGTTCACTGCATCAACAAGAACAAAGTAGCAGTGATGCAGAACCCCTATAAAAGTTTTTGAAAACAAAAATAAATCTGAAGAAATGGTACCTATTGGCAGAACTAAAAAGCATAAAAGGGCAATAGGAAGATAGACAAACTTTAACAACTTAATTTTTAGACCATTATCTAGGGCAGGGGTTCCCAGTTCTTTTCTTATTGCATACCCCATTACAGATTTACCAGCTGCCTGCTTAAGTTTTATATTTTAACCCCTCCCATGCCAATTATTATAATAAAAATTAAATCCACCATAACACTACATCCTGCATATCCCCGGGGTGCGAGGGAGAGGGAACAAACCATGCGCACATCACCAGTTTCATGTTTTAGTTATTAAAAAGCAAACAAACTCAGTCTTCACTCCTAGTTAGCTGAGAACATCTACAGCCACTTTGCAGATTAGTATAAAACCTGTCTGCTTATGTTAGTTTTCAGGAAAATCATGAAGTCTGAATTCAAGTAACATACTGGGTAACTTTTAAAAAGTGAATTAATCACTTGTCCTTTCTAAAATTCCATGTTTGTTTCTTAAATGTATTTGTTCATTAAATTATTTGTTCCAATATACTGCATTTAAAAACATATGCTCCCTACAGCAAGGAATGTCTTGTGTGTGTTTGCACAGCTTTCAGATGAAAACCTAAACACTGTTAAATTTCCTCACCACCTCATTCTGCAAGACAGAGCAGTGTTATCCTTAGAAGTGTACTACTAACTTATTGTACATTTGCTGTAATGGTATAAAGTTTTTCCAACTCTTGCATAATTTAGAACCAATAAATATTTTGGTTCTCACCATGCTTTTAATGTTGTGACTACAGTTTAAGAACATGCCTTCCTATATTTCAACTTCTAAATACATTAACATCTTTTGTACAAGACCAAGGCTCATACCCCACATCTAAAACACGAGCTCCATAACTTTGTAAGCACAGCAGCACTTAGATGTGCCACCCATATCTGATGCAACTCTGAAGAGAACTGGATATTCCAGAGACACTCTGCCATCTGCACATTCCTACCAATCCTCTCTTGTATATTTACATTAACATATAGTTAAAGGCATCATCCTATATTAACATTTTAAAGGTTTGTTAGAAAAACCAAACATAGGCTTTAACTTGATGAGCACATTACGAGATGTTCAGAAACCTTCTACTGTGCTGAAGCCATAGGGATTCTGTATCTACAACACGAGACTTATTTTTTTTTTTTTAAATGTTGTTAGCAAATATTAGACCTTCTTCTATCCTAGTTTAAGCATGGACATGTCTAGAGTTGTCCCCTACCCCGCAAGCAACTGCACTTAAATTTTACACAAGTTTCACCTCCTACTTGATTTCATGGGTACCAACATCACATTCCCCCTCTAAAGAAATGAGGCAAGCTTACTTTTGTGTAACGATGAGGGTATTTTGCTGCCGTTACTCTATTCAAGTCAAGGAAAGCATCCCCATTTTCAGTTTCTGCTATGCCTCCTCGTTTATCCATGGCTATTTCAAAGCCTCTGACTAGGGACCTGCTTGGGAAGGGGAGGGGGGGAGAAAAAGGAGGCATCAGAAGTCAGGAGTAGTACAGGCTACAAAAGCATGTGCAGAAGCTGTCACTGGATTAGAGGTGCTCGCAGCAGAGCACGCTGGATGTTGCTGCCAGGCCAGGTGTCCAAGGGGTCACACAACCACCCCCGAGCACTGGGAGGGCGGCAGCTGCGCTTGCTCTTCGAGCAGACGCTGCTCGGTTGTTGAGGAGCTCGAGCACAACGGGGATTAAGCCGCTACCACAGGGGCAGGACCAACAGCGGGGGAGGGAGGCGCCCGGAGGCGGAAGCCCTGGCAGGACAAGGGGCCGCAGAGACAGGACCCCGCGAAGCGCCAGCCCAGCCCCTGGCCCCAGCCGCAGCGGGACCCCGTGCAGTAACTCAATGGATCCCCCAACCCCGTACTCACCGGCCGGAAGGCGGCGGCCCCGCCACAGTGCTCGGCCCCAGCAAAGGCCGCGCCGTCGCCTGCGGCGTCTCCCGGCCCCCACGGCCGGCTCGGCTCGGCTCCCCTCCGGCTCCACCCCCACCCGCGCCCGGCGGCG